AGCTCCTTGGGTAGGCCAGTGACCTTGGAGTTTTGCAGAAAATTTGTGTTCTGTCCTTCTTTCTAACTTGGTTAAAAAAAAAAATTCTAGGAGGTGGTCAGAATATTTGTGGGATACCTAGCTCTGCAGTCTGAATTCTACAGAGGTGGCAGTAGAAACCCCAGACTGGGGATTGGGAACCAGATTGAAGGTGCTGGCCTCAATCCTCACCCTTGATGCAGCCTGGATGTCATGGGAAGGGTTGCCATGTCTCAGTCATGGCAATCGCTGTTTCTCCTGATGTTACAGGGCTCCAAAAAGAAAAAAAGAAAAAAGCAAAAGCAAAGCACACTGCTTATATGCTGCCCCATAGTGCTTAAAGCACTCTCTGAGCAGTTTACAAGTAAATTATGCAGGCTACACATTGCCCTCCTCCCAGCAAGCTGGGTACTTATTTTACCAACCTCGGAAGGATAGAAGGCTGAGCCAGCCTTGAGCCGGCTACCTGGGATTTAACCCCATGTCAGAAACTGTCATGAGCACAGTTTTGGCTGCAGTACAGCGGTTTGACCACTGTGCCATGAGTCTCCAAGGTGTATTACTTGCAGCTGGTGTTGCAGCAGTGGACCCAGTATTGCTCTTGTCAAGTTCCCTGTACAAGGGAAGAGGAGGAAGAAACAGGGCCATGCACGCTTAATTAGCATGTTGGGAACACTCTAAGTGCAATTAGTGTGCTGTGGTTTCTCTTTGCCTTTCCACTGGGAAAATGGTAGTGAGGAAAGTTATGTGCCTGGATCTAGAAAGCTTTGCATGCCTTGTGCTTTTCCCATTGGGCATGATGTAGGATGGGTAGAAGGCCACTGTATTGTTACCAGTCACAAATGAAAGGAAAATTCCTTTCTCTCTTCTTGTGTTCCCAGTGAAGGAGGTCAGTAAATTAGGGATAATGTTTTGAGGTTGGTGCAGTTGCATCCAGAAACGTTTTTGTGTAGCTTCAGTTGATATGTTAATTTTGGCCCTTCCTGGAAAAGGGTGGCTGGACTCCTGCAGCTTGTTCTGGCTCAGGTTACCTTCAAGAGCCTTTGAAACCTGTGAGGTGGTCAAGAGTCCTACATCCAGGATGTTGCTAAGGTTATATTATTGGGATGTATTCTTTTGATTATATAATATCTATACTTGTTTCTAGTTTGTTTCAAAAGCTGTTCCAAGAGTTGGCTACCCAAAGCCTTACATAGTTTGAATCCAAAATGTCTGAATGACTAGTTCCTCTTTCGCATTTCTTCTCACCCACTAAAATAATTATGTGAGATTCTCTTCTGTGTTACACTGTCATCTCAAACCAGGTTGGTGTATCTACTGGACATAGTTGATTATGGGACTTTAGAAATCTGTCTGGGCTCTTTTCTTCTCACCTCATCTCTGTTGGGCTTTTAACATCTCATTTGTTGATACATTTCTCTGATTGGGTTGATTTTATTGCTGTTGCTATTTGTGTTTTATATTTTATTTTTATTTTGTCTTATATTCAGTTTTGTAGTTTAATGTTTGTGTGCATCACTATTTTGATTGTTGTAAGTAATGGGGGGCATCTTCAGCTAAAATACAGCATACTTTTAAAAATATAAATATATAAATTGACTATGCATCATGTTGCCATTTGGAGGCTTGTTTGGAGAGTCATAATATTTTGGTCTAATATTTGAATGTTAGAGGAAGTGTGAAAGATCTGATTTTTGGGGGATGGAGGGGAAGAATTGAGTCATGGTGGTGTGTTGAACGGAAGGGTTTTCCATATACACTTAATGGAAACTGCTATAATTAGTGGTATTCTTGCTTTGTAACAATAAGTGCTAAAATATTTACAAACAGCTATGAAGATTCTCAAATTGCTATGGCAGTTTTGAACAGGGTAGCCATGTTTGTTGCAGCCAAAATTACAAAGAGTTTGGTGTAAGATTTGTGGACTGTAGCCCACTTCATCAATTGTGTAATGAATCTGATGAAGTAGGTTACACTTCATAAATGTGTATCGCAATTTTTTTTTAACCGTTCATCATATAAAGCAAATAACATTTACTGTTCATCAAGGTGCCATATATTTCACTGGCAACTGGCTAACTTTGGTGCTGGAACAGTCATTTAATCCTTGTCCTTTGAGCTGTTTCCACAACTGAAATAGTTAACTTTCTACTTCATTGCTGTTTCCTTTGCTGAGGAAAACAAATTTGGCATCCCACCCTAAGCTGCTTTAAAAAGACATACATACAACAATATGGAACGCATAACGCAAGACTTAACCTTGCACCTCTCATTCCATCCCAACTTCTTGCTAAGATAGTAAATGTACATTGGAGCTCTACTACTTGTGTAAGTGCAGGTTCACTTACTTGGATGCTTTTTTCCCTGCAGAAAAAATATTCCTGAAGAAAACTAATATGTTGAGAAAAGAGTTCTAGCATAGCATTGGAACTGACCTAAGAGCTGTAGCTGCAATCTTTGTCTTCATAGACAAGGTTGCATTGAGGTGTCTCCCCATCTGAAGCTGGAAATGATTTACTCCTGTAGGGGGATACTACCATCAGAAGTTTGGGAAACATATACATGAAGCTTTACTCCTTGTTCTTTGGTACAGTTTCCACCATGCTGCTTAGTTAACGATTCCATCACCACCTCAAATTTTCTTCTTAAATTTCCTTTGAAGAAAATTTTCCTTGAAGAGCATCTTTTTATTTTCAGTTGTGGGTTCAAAAACACTGTAGAAAATGAAAGCAAAGTTTGTGTCATTCAAGAAGAAGTGTAGGGTGAACCAAAGCTTAGATGCCATTCTCATTCTTCCCTGGCCCCATCCTTCCCCTGTCTGCCTACTGCATAGGGCCTGTTATCTTCCCCTGACAGTTTTCTGCCTAACAAATGGTGTTTCTTTTTTACAGCATAATGATCCGGGACTTGTTGTGGTGATGGTAAACTTAGTGGTAATTTTTAATTTTCAGACTGAATTTACTTCCTTTTTTGTCATCAGAGCACCAAATATGTTAGGCTTACTTTTCTCTGTTGTAGCCTTCATCTCTTCTGCTTGGTCTTTCATTTCCCTTTTTCCCTTTTCATTTCTTCATGCACTCTTTTGTGTCTGATCCTTGTTCATTGATGGTTTAATGCTCAGAAGGGATGTTTGTGTTAGAGCTGCTAAAAATTTGTGGAGAATCACATCAAATATCAAAATTCTAATATCGTCCAGACTTGATTCCTCCCTCTTCCCTTGCCCAAACTGTGGTGGGTGTTAGTAGTTGTTCTGGCACTATTATAGCTAATTGAAAGCAGAACACTTTGACTGCCTTAGAAAGCAAAAGTACTGATGCATTCTTCATATTGTGAATGAATCTGCCATAATCAGAAACTTTGATGCAACAATTGCAACTGCTAAAGAAACCAAACCAAACCTTTTGGTGTGAAGGGAACGTACTTCATTTTAAGAAGTTACCATGAATTTGGTCCTTTTGCTCAAAACTGCAGTCACTGCTTCTAATACCGTTGGGCATAAAATCCCCTCCTTCCCACCCTTGTTTCAGAAAATGTTGTAAAAGCTGCAATAAGAGTAAAATTCTAGCACTTCTGGATTTGAGTCTCTCAGCCCAGGTTTCCAAATTCAGAATAAATCAAAACTGACTCTGTATTAAATACATATTTGGTTTAGAAATACTGTAAGCTGGAATTTACTCCCAAGTTAAATTTATGTCTGGAAGTCTGAGATTGGTTTGTCTTCATTTTTATGGCACTTGAAAGTACAAACAATTCTTCAAGTCCCTTGGAAAAAAACCTCTCACATAAGCTTGTGAAGAATAACACAAATCTTGTTTGTAGACAATTAACAAAAGCAAGACCACACAAGTCTTTTGACAGAGGTGGGACATAAACCCAGATCTCCAAGTGAAACACTGTCAGCTGGACCATACTAGCTCTCAAAAGTTGAAAGATGTTGATAGCTAAATTTTTGAGACATGGGTTGTCTAAGGCTATATTTCTTGTGCCAGATGGAGGAACAATAACAACCCAGTCTCCTTATTTTAGCACAATTCAAGCTTGGATTTCTGTTAGCCCAAGGGTATACCATATGTGTATGTGTATGTATAACAGAGAAAAATATAATTGACACCAATCCCCCCAAGACCAATAATGAGGGAAGTAAACATTCTGTTTTTTCACTCAAGGTATGCACCGGATAAGGTAAGTAACTCCTTTTTTCCAGTGGCCTTACATCACAACTCACAGCGCATGTTGTGATGTAAAAATAAACACCCCTCAAAGGCTGTGATAGTCAAAGTGCTCGTCTGCCCCATTTTGCTTTGTTTGGCTGGTTATGAGTGAATTAAAAATACATACGGAATCTTCAGCATAGTTTGGTTAGTTTCGAAGTCAATTTTCTTCGCAACTAGTCCTTTTCACAGCTTACAAGAGTAGGGCAAACAGTGTGGTAGAATCCAGGAGGCCCATTTTTGAGTTGGCAGTGTTTAAAGACCTTCTGCTCATGCAGAAAGGGATGAATTTCAGCTTCAGCCTTCTAAAATAGTAGCATACAGAGTGGGTCTTGCTAAGCATTAATGCTTGCACTTTTATGAAATATAAGATTTTTTTTTATCTTTAGCCAAGATGTTTCATAAATGAGTAGTATCCTGTTTATACCTTGCATATTGTCTCTTGGTGATCTGAGAGGCAATATCTTCTCCATCTCCCAGATGTTTTCAATCTTGTTTCATAAGTGTATTTTATTTCTATATTAGCTTGAAAGAATATCAAGGCTAAGTGGGAGCAGAAGATATAAGCAGGGCAAGTCTGGCACTGAGGATGTGTCAGCTTGTGGTTGTAAGCTGTGAGAATGGCTTGTGTTTGGTTCTCTGTAGCTTTCTGGTCTCTGCACTCCAAAGGCAAGATCTCTAACCAACCCAAACCCAATGTGTACAAAGCGACTCACCAGAGGCTGATAATTTTCTCTACCTGCCCAACTGATCAAAATGCTTTCCTTGTAGGTAGGACAGATCCCATTCCTATCGTCGTCAAGTATGATGTCATGGGCATGGGGCGGATGGAAATGGAGGTAAGTGGACCGTCCTCTGCGGTCTTTCAGTGCAGGAGAATTAAATGTCAAAGCTTGGAAATATCTTCTTAAAAACAATGTTACTTGTTATCTTTTCATCTGGATTGTTCTAATATCAGTGATGTCAACATTGCATTTTTGAACTGACAAATACCTTCAGCCATTACTTTGAAATGTTATTTTTGCAGGGTCATTTTGGGGGTCTTTGGGGGGGTTATGGATTGCCTTAAAATACTCTTACAGAAAGAGTAGTAAGTGACAACTAACATAATAACACCAATGAAAATAGCACCAATGAAATGTGTTAGTCTATAAAGTACTGTTTTCAAGCTCTGACAGATTTCCTTGCACACTTTAGCGTAGATTTGGGCAAAATTGTGTCTTTAAGATGTGTGATTAAGAATGATGAGAGTGACAGTCTGCATCAGAGGGACACCAGGTCAGGCACTTGCGCAAAATTGCGCTGCATCTAGGTTTTGGGAAAGATTGCTCAGAATTGGTACTGTGCATAAACATGCAACATATAGAGGCAATGCTAGAACTAGATTAAGTTGTGTTTTCTAAATTGTGTCTGAAGACACAATCATACTTTTGTATGATCAATGCCATACTTGCCTTGCTTGTATGTTTTGTTCCTTCTTGGCATTGATACTCTTGAGCATGCTGGTGTAATGGTGGTTCTTTCCACTATTGTGGTACTATTGTTTTTCCTCTTTTGTTGATATTGTAGAGAAGGCAGCTTAGGGGGACATGGAGAGGCTTCAGAAATCATTGTTTGTTTGGAAGGAGCTCTAAGCCTGTTAGAATTGTAGGTGGACATAGAAGGGGAAAAGAGAAATACCTATCTATGTAGTTCCTAATTAATTCATAAATTTTGTTTTATGATTTATAATTTATATGACATATAATGATTGGCTGTAATATGTAGTAGAGTTATCCAGGGGCTAGGGCATTGTGATAGATGATTCCACCACTTTGAAAGTTCTACTGACTGTCACTGAGTAGGGCAAGAGATGGTGGGTGTGTATCATTTTATTTTTTGATACTTAAAAAAGTACTCTCACTAAAACTAATGAGAAACAGGTTATCTATACTAGCTGAAGGTTAGCATAGGTGAAGGGCCTATTATAGGGGAGGCAGATTTTGAGGATCCAGGACCACCTTCAGTTTCCTGCATTTCAGACTCTACTGTTTATGGAGATCCTAGACCTATAAAGCTTTCTGTAATAGTACAAGGGGCCTCCACACTGGGTGCACTAGTGCACTGGAGAAGTTTTCTCCACTGGCAGAGGTTCTTTTTTTAAATTCATTCTAGTCCCTTCCACAGTCAACATGATTTAAGATTATTTGATTATTCACCAGTGTCTCTAGAGTTCAGAAACAACATGTCTCTGATTACCAATTGTTTCTGAAGAACCATATAGAAATGACAGAACACACAGAGCAGATTGTTTGCATGTGGAAGGTCTCAGGCTCATTCTCACACACTACCAGATCCCAAATGGCAGAACTCAAAGAAAGGCCTCTGCTGTGCATGGCCTCTGGCAGGCAGACAATGCTGTCTTCAAATAAGACAACTTAGTGCAGTCACACATTAGAGCAGGCTAAGTGATGAATAGTCTTCCATATGGCCCTCCAAGCATTCCTCATCATTGGCTCTGCTGGCTAGGGTTGCTGAGATCTGGAGTCCAACATGTAGAGAGCCACACTTTGCCCACCTTTTGTTAGGTAGTGAACATAAAATTTGTTAAGAATATTGCTCACACAATATAGGAAATAAAGCTCCCTTTTTCTCTGTTGATATCTTATTTCCTGGCTCTTAGCTTCACTGCATCAAATTTCCTTGAAATAAAATCTTTTACTTGACACCAGTTATTCCCAGTAGGATTGCCTCAGAATGGAGAATTTAATAAATTACAATGTATTTAGTTTTCAGTTTAGGAATGAGTTGAGCTACAGTTGAGAGAAATTGGATGAACATTTACTATGTATGACATATTCTTGGCTGGTTGGACAAAGCATTATGTTTTTTACTGTCTCATTTTTCGCTTTTGGTTAATTAGCTTGATTATGCTGAAGATGCCACAGAAAGGAGGCGGGTCTTGGAAGTGGAGAAGGAAGATACTGAAGAACTGAGGCAGAAGTACAAGGTAGCCAAATTAACTTTTCCTGGGATAGCTGTATGAGGACTCACTGGGGATCTTGTACAATACAGTGGCTCTTCTTGCTTAAAACATCTTTATATGGACTTATTTGACTAATTATCCAGTATTTCTTATATAAACCAGGGATGGACAGGAACAAGACTGTGATCAATCAGCGAAGCCATCTCTGTATCTGAGAAGCATAAGCAAAAATGTCTTCATCCCCCTGTGCCAACTAGTTGCTCAGATTTTTGCAAAGAATCTTAGACTAAAATATGTCTACTTAATAATCTACAGTGATCTAGTGTACAGACTTGAGTGTGTTTAATACAGATTAGTTATTATCACAACTGTTAAGCAGTCATGAGCATATCTTGCTTGGTAAACCTATGACATCAGTGAACTGTAATGACCTCTTTGGGAAATAAAAAGAAAATGAAAAGACCTCCTAAGACTGAAGTCAGCTCACTTCTGGTCCTGCATCTATTACCTTTGGAGCAAGGATGAGTATGTACACAGGATCATTTTCTATACTGTTGACTTCCTTCCTTAGATCCCACCTCAGTTCCTACTTCTCAGAAAAGCCTTGTCTGTTTAGATATCATCTGCTTGCTTCTTCATCTCTATGTGTTTTTCCTGCATCACAATCTCTGTAGTGTATTGGTTCCAGATACTTGAATAATTTTTGAACAGCACTTAAAACTCATATAGTTTTAAGAGTGTGTTAAGAAATAGTAGCTAAATAAAATTGTGGCAGTATAAAGTTAAATGCTTAATGAAAACCTTCCCATTTTTGGTGTACATGGTAGTTTCTTAAGGTGGTTTAACACACCTGAATGCTTTTTGTCATTCCAGGATTATGTGGACAAAGAAAAAGCTATTGCCAAGGCCCTTGAAGACCTTCGAGCTAATTTTTATTGTGAGCTGTGTGATAAGCAGTACCAAAAGCATCAAGAATTTGACAACCACATAAATTCCTATGATCATGCCCACAAACAGGTAAAAAGATAGGAAATCATAAGAGATAATAGTTCTCTTGTTTATGGTCTGTCAGTTGTAGCTTTCTCAGTACAGTACCATGAAATTTCTTTTCTTTATGTTTGTCTTTTTCCCTTTCGCTGAACCTCCAGCAGCAGTAACATCTTGGTGTCCTGCCCTGTGCCTTAGTAGGACTCACTTGCTGCTTGTGCCTGAATTTAATTCCAGTGTCAGAATGGACAGTGCATCACACAGAATTAAGAAAAACGAGATACATTTAGGTTCCAACATGTGCCTTATTTTTAAAGTAAGAAATGGGAGGGGAGTATTTGAGGTCATGATGATTAATTCACAATATAGGAAGAAGAGGCAGGCCACAATTACGTATCTGGGGAAAAACCAGCCTTACTGCAGTTTAAAATGTGTCCAGTGTGCACCATTTTAAGCTACAGTATGGCTTTTCTGTGGTCAGAGTAAGTGAGCCCTTTCAGTTGCTGCTCCCACCATCATACAACTGCCTGCCAGACAAACAACCCCTGCAGAGAAGGAAGAGCTATCTTGCTCTGGCCAATCACAGAGAAAACCCTACTGTTGCCACTCAAAGGGAGAAGATCGGAACTCTTGCATCCCACCTTTTCGTGGGGTGGGGTGGGGAAGAAGGCATCGTACTCACACATCCTTTTTTTTTAATTGCAAGGAATTGCATTGAAACAGCGGTTTTGTGTTTTAAGTGGTTTTGCCCTTGTTTGCTTCTAAAAAGGTAAAGGTTCCCCTTGACAATTTGTCCAGTCATGTCCGACTCTAGGCGGCGGTGCTCATCTCCGTTTCCAACCCATAGAGCTAGCGTTTGTCTGCAGATAATCCTCCGTGGTCACATGGCCAGCGTAACTAGACATGGAACACCGTTTACCTTCCCACCGAGGTGGTACCTATTTATCTACTTGCATTTTTGCATTTTGCATGCTTTCGAACCACTAGGTTGGCAGGAACTGGGACAAGCGACGAGGGCTGACTCTGTCGCATGGATTCAATCTTACAATTGCAGGTCTTCTGACCTTGCAGCACAGAGGCTTCAGCAGTTTAACCTGTAGCACCACATCCCTGTTTGCTTGTAATACATAGTAAAAATGTTTGTTGTGGATTGTAGCAAATGTGTAGCTTAGGACAGAAAGAGACAGAATAATAGTAGGAAGCATTTTTGAATAATGAAGTCTACTGTCATATGAGAAACTGCCAGTTTAGTCCTCAGTCAGCCTACACAATAGCTACTCCAGTGTATACCGAGTCAATATGAGAAACTGCCAGATTAGTCCTCAGTCAGCCTACACAATAGCTATAAAATGTGTTATGGTAAAATGATTTAAGTACATTGGCAGCTACTTAGATAGCAACAAACTATGAGACTGTCAAGATCTCAAGTTTTGTAATATGTCATTTTTCTTGAACTGCCAGCTGGTGTAAGAATATGTCCAGAACTTTGATCGAGCCTAGATTAATACTTAAGTGCAGGCTAACCTAGGAAAAACATGTGCAGTGAAGCCATAAGTTACTCTTCCTGACATCCTGCATGATTACGCCTGTTGTTCAGGGTTGATTCCAGGCATTGAGAGGGTGACTAGTTTCCCATTTGCTTGGAGGAAATAATATCTTCCTCTGCACAAGCAATTTGCCAATGCTACCAGTCAACCTGCCAAGTGGCAAAACAGTTCAAGACAGAAAGATACATCTGAATGGGCTTGTAATTTGTTTGTGTATATCAGTAAACCGGAGTTTAGTGTGAAGGCACGGTTTTGCTACACACACATATCTTGTTTGAGTATAAATAGGAATCTTAGAGACCATGGATTGGTTGTGTACAGTTTATAAAAAATAGGTTTTCATAGTATGTTGTGTTCAACAAGAATATTTTTTGAAGACTTAGAAGATATTCATAGTGACCTACTCAGACTTGCTAGAGGGTTTTTTGGTTGTGTGCTTCACTCTTACAGAAGATGAATGAACAGTGTCTTCTACTTGCAGAACAGAAAAGAGAAGGCCAGCTTGGCCTCCCATGGGGAGAGAGGTCCAGAGTCTGGGAACAGCAACAGAGAAGCCATATCCCATGTCCCTACCAAACATGTATGTGAGGGTAGTGGGACAGAGAGAAAGCCCTCTCCTGATGATCTTAACACTCAGGATATGGTCTTTTAGACAGCTTGGATCCAAGCCATTTAGGGCTTTATGGTTAAAACCAGCATTTGAATTATGCCCAGAAGCAGATAGGTAGCCAGTTAAGCTGCTATAACAGGGGAGTTGTATGTCCCCTCTAACCAGCCCTAATTAAAAATTTGGCTTTAACATTTTGGACCTGCTGGAGTTTCTTTCCAAAGACAGCACCATGTAGAACATGTTACAGTAATCCAACCGAGATGTAACTAAGACGTGTCACCATGGCCAGATCAGACCTCTCAAGGAACAGGTGCAGCTGCTGCACTGGTTTTAACTTTGCAGATGCACTCCTGGCCACCACCTGGGCATTCAGACTCAGAGATGAATCTAGAAGCACTCACAAGCTGTGTATTTTTGTGAGGGGGTGTAAACCCATCCAGCACAGGCCAGATCCCTATTCTTTGATCTGCCTTTCAACTGACGAGGAGCATCTCTGTCTTGTCCAGATTAAATTCAGTTTATTCACCCTCGTCTAGTCCGTTACTGACTCCAGACACTAATCTAGAACTGAAACAGAATTAGACAGAAAGGAGAAATAGAGTTGGGTGTCATCTATATACCGGTGACACTGAACCCCAAAACCATAGACAACCTATCCCAATGGTTTCATGTAGAGGCTAAATAGCATAGGGGACAAAACAACCCTGAGAGACCTACAAGCTAATGACCAGGGTGTCAAACAGGAGTCCCCAGCACCACCTTCTGAATTCTCCCCTCCAGGAAGGGCCAGAGCCATCATAAAACTGTCTCTAAGGTTTTATTTTAAGGAGATGGCTCATAAGGAAACTATGGTCAATGATATCAAAAGTGGCTGAGACAGGGACACACACTCCTCCTGTCCAGTTCCTGGTGTAGGTTATCCACCAAGATGACCAGAGCAGGCTCCATCCCATGACCAGACCTTAAGCCAGATTGAAATGGATCTAGATAATCTGTCTCATCCAGGAACCCTACTGCTGCTCGCTTTAACACCTTGCCTAAGAATGGAATACAGTGGTGCCTCGCATTACGATGTTAATTCGTTCCAGCGAAATTGCTGTAGAACGAAAACATCGTAAAGCGAAATTAAAAAGCCCATAGAAACGCATTAAAACTAAGATCATGGCCACTGGTCCCATCACCTCCTGGGAAATAGAAGGGGAAAATATGGAGGCAGTGACAGATTTTACCTTCTTGGGCTCCATGATTACTGCAGATGGAGACAGCAGCCACGAAATTAAAAGACGCCTGCTTCTTGGGAGGAAAGCGATGACAAATCTTGATAGCATCTTAAAAAGCAGAGACATCACCTTGTCAACAAAAGTCCGAATAGTCAAAGCTATGGTTTTTCCTGTTGTG